TAGGTGTCAGGATTCCTAGATGATCCAGCAAGTAGAACTGTATCACACCTAGGACTAAAAGGTAATGTCTTACCGTGCCTTAGAATGGCAGGACATAATGTACCAAGTAATATTCAGAATACTTGCCGAGGTCAGGGACAACAGAATGGGACACAACAATAAGGAAAAGCCAGAAGTCATTGATACCAGAATACAGGGTAGTCAAAATGAAGCCAAAGTCAATAACCAGAAATAAACGCTCAGGAACACACTTTCGGACAACCACTAAGGGAAACCATGACAGGACAATGAGGAGAAGTACAAATACGTTTAAATAAGCCCTTTACAAATCTGATTGGCCGAAATCGGCCTATGACCCCAGAACTTGTGCACGCGTCTCCTGCGTGATGTCACACGCACGCCGATGTCGTCATCCATGTGGGCGGACTTGAGGATATAATTTGGTGTGGATCTGCAGCGGCCAGCCCATCAACATGTTGCAGGATTCAGGTACACAGATTCATGGCCACTGAGTGTAGATACCGCAAGGTGAGGATGAATAAGTTACTTTATCCCCCACCTGAAGACCGTCCACCGGGTGGACCCGGCTTGAGGGGAAACTTAGAGTGGAAATAACAAATCTTGCGACCAGAATGAATATCGGAGGCCAGGACCCAAGATCGTTCGGCAGGCCCATGACCCTTCCAATCAACGAAATACTGTAATGAACCACAAGAGAACCTGGAATCGATTATGGAAGAGACTTCATACTCCTCCTGTCCAGAAACCACCAACGGTGGTGGTAGAACACTTGGGACAGTATACCTTTTGCAAATAAGTTGTTTGAGCAAAGAAACATGAAATTTGTTAGGAATACGTAATGAGGCGGGGCAAGGCCGTCCTTAGGGGTGTGCAAGCTGTGTGGCCGCAGGGGGCGCCATGGCAACAGGGGTGCCCTGGCAGCTGACACAGCTCCCACATGGTCGGATGTGAACTGTGTGCATCTGCTACCCGGGTGGAGGATTTCATTTTTCACCACCCGGGTAGCCGACCATCCCAAAACACAGATGTGCGGGTGGACGGGCTTACCGAGCGGCAGGTGGCACTTATGCGGAGGCGGGACTACAAATGACACCAGAGATGGAGCTAAGTGCACCCAGAAGCCGGTGTTAGTGCTGCACAGGAAAAGGGAAGCAGGAAGGACTACCTGCTTCACCAACAACTCCAGGAGCTGCATCTGCCTCCACTTCTCACTTACAATTACTGACCATAATAGAGAGAAGTAACCTTCCATTTGGGTATGTGTGTCTGTAACTGTGTATGACTGTAACTGTGGGTGTGTGTCTGTAACTGTGCATGACTAACTGTGTGTGTGTGTGTGACTGTAACTCTGTGTGTGTCTGTAACTGTGTTTCTGTAACTGTGTGTGTGTGTGTGTGTGTGTGACTGTCTGCCTGTGTGTGAAACTGTAACTGTGTGTGTGTGTGTTAGACTGTCTGTGTGTGTGTGACTGCAAGTGTGTGTGATTGTATATGTGTGTGTATTACTAACTGTGTGTATGACTGTTCCCTATACAAACACTACACCCCTATACACACACACACACACTATACATGGATGAAGATGGGGGGGCGCTGTCAGGATTTTTCAAACAGGGCGCCTAAAGGCCTAAGGCCATCCCTGAGGCAGGGAGAGACAGAAAATACGAGACAGGATTAAGTCTAAGAAGGATACAAAACGGACCCTGGAATCTGGGAGCAAACTTCATGCTAGGAACTTTAAGTTTAATGTAGCGTTATGATGACCACACCCTCTCACCCACTTGGTAAACAGAGTTGGCCCCCCACCGCTTTACAGCATGAAATTTTAAACTATCAGTCACAGTTTTGAGAGTGGAGTGAACCTTGGTCCACGTATCACAAAAAGAAGCAAGGTGATCATCCAAAGCAGAACAGTAGGATGATGACCGTTATTAACAAAGAGAGGACTATGACCAGAAGACTCATGATTAGCATTGTTCCTAGCTAACTTGGCCCAGGGTAATAATTTGGACCAGTTATCTTGAGTGCTATTAACAAAACAACGCAAACACAATTCTAATGACTGGTTAGCCCTCTCAGCCATGCCATTGGTTTGGGGATGATAAGAGGAAGAAAATGACAATTCAATGCCCAATTGTTTATTGAAAGCCCTCCAGAACCAAGATAAAAACTGAGAACCTCTGTCAGTTACAATATTGTGAGGAATGCCATGCAGTCGGACAATTTCACATAAAAAATAAGAACCGGGTCTTGAGAGGATGTCAATTTTTTTGAGTGGAACAAAATGAGCCATTTTGGAAAAGCGATCAAGCACCATAAGGATGGTGGTATAGCCATTAGAACTGGGAAGTTCCACAATGAAATCCATGGACAAATGGGACCACGGAACGTTAGGCACGGGGAGTGAGTGTAACAATCCACATGGAAGCTTATGAGGTACCTTAGAAACTGCACAAACAGAACGGGTCTGCACATATTCTTTAACATTCTTTAATGATCTCATGATCGTGGATTTATGGATTTATTAATGCCCGGGTGTCCAGCAGCCACGTTGTTGTGGAACACCCTCATGACATTTTCCCTTTCACTCAATGAAACAGTCATATGATCTGTGAGGAGGTAGAATATTGGTCTGAATACCTCCTTACCCACCCAGTATTGTACGGGAACTAGGGAGGTCTGAGGCGTAGTAGTGGGTAATGTAATGATGCCCACTCTTTTGGTAAAGTGCAACATACATCTCTCAGTACAGTCCTTGTCCCATTCCAATATTTCCCCTGTTGCCCAGTCAATATGAGGATTGTGCCTAATAAGCCAGTGAAAGCCTAATATGATGGGGCAAAATGTTATGTCTTCCTTGTGTAAGGCAGCAATGGAAATGTTAATGGGCAAGGTTTTGTGTGTAATTAAGGGTTGAGAGAGAGGTCTACCGTTAATATCCTCAATGGCCAGAGGTGATAATCTCTCCTTGATAGGTATAGCATTTTTTTTTACAAAATGAACATCAATGAAGTTTCTTACTGCACCTGAGTCCATCAGGGCTCTGCATGAAAAGTTCTTCTTGTTACATTTGACTGTAATAATAAGGAGGAATCTATTTTTGTTATTCCCATCACACCCAAGACCTGTCCCCTTAAGGTTTTTAGGTGCGGAAGTTTTCCGCACGTATAGGACAAGCACTCCTTATATGTCCTTTTCTACTGCAGTATAGGCTTAGACCCTCTTTTCTCCTATATTGTCTTTCTGCCTCTGACAGTCTAGTGACCCCCAATTGCATAGGTTCGAGTTCGGACTGTACAGGGAGGTCAGGAACAATAGGTCTTGAAAAACGAGGTGCTAATGACAAAGCCATACGTCTGGTTCTATTTCTGGTAGTTTCTCTGGTTCTTAATCTATTATCAATTTGCATTACAAATGTGATAAACTCATTTAATTTTATAGGTACATTTTTGGCAGCAATCTCATCCACAATTGCTTCGGATAATCCTTTTTTAAATACAGAGATTGACCCACTATTAGTCCAGTCTACCTCAGAAGGCAAGGTGCGAAATTCTATGGCATTATCTGAGATAGACCGGTTCCCTTGTTTGATATGCATTATGGCAATGGAGGTGTCAGCCTTCCTGCCTAATGGTTCGAATGTTAATTTGAATTCTGCAAGGAATTCCTGGTAATATGTGCAATACTCCTATTACTCTCCCATAACGGATTGGCCCAAGCCAAGGCTTTGCCTTTAAAGGAGCTCTATAGGGTCAGGAACACAAACATGTATTCCAAACCCTATAGTGTTAAAACCACTATCTAGCCCCCTTGGCCCCCTTTGCCTCTCTAAAGATAGTAAAATCTTACTTGAAGCTGCTGCCTCTGCCTGTGAACTTTCTCTGACCTCTGACATAATCAGAGGTGGTGGCCTGATCTAATCACAATGCTTCCCCATAGGATTGGCTGAGACTGACCATTCTATGGCCCTGTCGTAATGTCAGGATTACTAGTTGTGGCAAAAGTGATCCGCCACTGGGTTTTGGAGAGGCCTGCTTGCCAGCCTCTTGCCTTGTGACTATGGCTCCTGGGAGGTATTGCTATTTAAAAACCTCTATTTGTGGCTATTGTACGTTGAAGACTGTTTTTGGCCCTTTAAATTGTACTGATACAGTTCTGCACTTTTGCTATGGCACTTCGGATGCAGCCAAAGTGCCGAAGTAGTCGAATTGGCCACCATTCAACATACGAGCACCTGGCGGCAGCCATTGTAATTTAGCCGAACACGGTCAGCGGTGTTTTGACGTCGAGCTCATGGAACTAAAATCAGATACTCAGTGGCACAAACATCACTGAACATTTACCTCCTTTGAAACTTCGACACTTCGGCGTGAGTCGAACAGCGTTTGACAATATGAACGCCACATTAACACTGCATAATGGCACGAACGGCTTCGTTCATGCATTCAAAGTTATTTGAACTGTGGTTAATGGACTGGCTGCACAGCCAAAATCTATGGAACTGTTTTGGGCAGAAAAGCCATGCTTGCGGTCGGTCAAATGGGACTTTCAGCTATCTCCTGAACCACTGGACCAATTCACATGATTTTTGGATATGATTGTTCCCTAATTATGCTGATTCAAAAAATGGAAGTTTTATGCGAATGTGATGTATAATTTTGGAGTTTTAGAAATTGTGAAAAAAGTGTATTTTTCCATTGGAGATAATTGAGCTGACACAGTAATTAGCCCAATTATCTCCCAAGCAGAGGGGAGAAATTTACTGCAATGAATGTGAGTGTTTAACTGTGTGTCTGTAAATAATTGGTTGTTGTGTTTGTGTTTTTAGTGCCCAACAAAGTCCACGTGGGGAAATGTGTATATAAGAAGCAATAA